GCAAAAGGAGACAGGAAAAATATGTGGTGGAAAGTGATTAGAAAGTCTGAAGAGCTACTACCTTACAGACTTTAGTGTAAACCTCTAATACTGCTGCACATCAGTTACTAATGAAAACAAGTGTAGATTTAAGATCACACAATTGCATGTCACTTGTTCTGGGTGCCAATTAACAAAATACTACAAGTTCCCAACTCATTTAGACATGTGCACTTCTTCCATCAGTTCAATGTTCAGAGCACACCAGAGACAAGGATGTTTAGAGTGATGATGTTTGTCTTCCCAAGCCAGCACTGCACATGACAGAGCCCTGCTGTCCTGGGGATGGCTGAACCTGCCTGCCAGTGGGAAGTGGTGAATGAATTCCATGTCTTCCTTTGCTTTACCTATTTACAACAACTGCTGTATCACTAGGAGACTGCTCCAACATTTTTAAACAGTGTAAGACACAGCAGCTATAGGGAAGTGCCACTGCAGGTGCTGTCAGCCATGTGGATACCCAGTTCAGGGCACCAGACTTGGTGCATGACATCTCCTCATGCCCCACAAGCCCAGTCCTGGCAGGACAGGAAGACTCCGACCTCTTTGTCACTCACTTCTTCATTCGTAATTCCAAATAAGGATGGAAAAAGCTGCACACTTATGGACAGGAATATCTTTGACTTGTAATGCCATTGTTCCTATTTTGAATGCGTTTACATTGCTTGTAAGCCATTACAGGGGGTGAATGGCCCTGCTGGGACACTGAAGTCTGCAGGCCCCTACCCGCACCTTGGAGGGCTGAGGGGTCTGGCACTTCAGCTATGACTGCAGCATGACAAGGAGCAGCAGTAGCTAAAAACCGAGGCTGTTCTGTGTAGTCACACTGCACCTTTCAAACAGTGATAACATTATCCTATTACACAACTCTTCGAAAACAACATAAAATGTTTTTTAAAACTATTTAAGGACAAGACCAGTAAAACTGCAATGACTAGTAAAGTTCAAACAACCTATTTATGCTGACTGTATGTCTCTGGATTCTTTAGAAGGAAGCAGATCCTAATCATAACTGTCCATGTTAGGAAGTTTTCCCTAAAGATGTAACTTTTATAATTGCAACAGGCAGTCCATAAACAATAAAAAGTCACATAAAAATGAAGTATAGAAAGTAGAAAATAAACTTTACTCAAATGCCTTATTTGCAGATTAGTATGTCAGAAAACAAGTGGGAAAGGCACAGCAGGTATTTTATACCAGGAAATTTCAAGAATCTCTTAGCAAGTTAAAATCACAAGAGTTTACTACATCATCTTATGCCCATTCCATACTGGAAAGCACCACATAGTTGCAAAATGTCTTACTCTTTAACAGCACATTAGAACACCAGATTAAATCTTTGTCTTGCTGAGAAATCCCATAGCTGTGGGCTAGGGTTAAACCACAAGAGTAACTTCAAGCTCAAACCTTGCCGAGTAAATTCTTGATAAAAAGTTACATGTAAACAAACACTAAAATCTGAATTTCACAAGTGGAGTTGCTGCTAAGATCTACAGGGAAAAATAACAGCAGAATGAGAATGAAACCAGGATCTCATCTTGACAAGGGTTTCTTCGTTGTGAAGTGATTATAGTTGTGTTAATGAGAAAACAGAAAAATAATTCAAGCATATTTCCACTGACTTTCAGTGGGGATTCTTTTCCTTAATTAATAACTTCATTAAATACTCACAAATGTTAATTAGTGGATGTACTGAGAGTAATTTCCAACATGCTAACTTTCCCAATCTCCTTCAGCAGTAGCGGATGCACTAGCTAGAGATGCACAATTTAGCATTTTGATCCTGTACAGAATTTATGAAGCTACAGAATCATAGAATGGTTTGGCTTAGAAGAGATCTTCAGAGGTCATTTAGTTCAACTCCCCTGCAGTTAGCAGGGATGCCTTCAGCTAGATCAGGTATGCCTCAGTGGGAAGGAAAGCAATCCTGTCTTTTCCTTCAGAAAACTGAAGGAGAGAAAAAGGTTAAAAAATATCTTTTACTACCATTTTCAGATTAGAACCATAGCTAACAGCTGAAGGGAAGCCTAGGCAGCCCTAACACCATGGTTTTCACATTGTGGCCTGCAGACTTCTCTGGCCTTTAGAGTAATTAATTCCAAGGAGTCTGTGAAAAGTAGCCAACACAAACAAGCCTAGCAGTGTCCACTGCAGAGAGTTTACACTTCCCTAGGGAGTAATGTTAAGGATGCCCAAGTAAGACAACTGGACATCAGTGCTTTAATCTATCCCTTCCATCCCCTGTCAAAAGAATTCTGTTTTTCAGACTGATCCAAGTGCACATTTACAACCACTCCATCACTGTTTACATGGTAAGTATGTATAAAGTATGCATAAATTTACATATTCATACATACTTACACATTTATAACAGTTAATAATTATTTACAACAATCGCAATGTATATATTTTGCCTATATTTATATATACTTTTATATTTTACATATTTATTTACAACTACTCCTCCAATCTATCCCAATAGCTTCCCCTTAAACAGCCTGAAGCATATTCTGTGCCCTTGATACCAACTTTCAATTTAGTCTGTGTCATTTAGTGATCATAACTCATCACTGTATTTCCAGTCTACACCACGCTTTCCAAAATTCTGCATCAACAAACAAGACTCTTATATAATTAGGACATTAAAAACAAGCTTCTCAAGCTAGAAGTGTTTCTAGTTGTCTGCCTAGCTAGAAAACTAGAGCGAGCAATAAGAAAGGTCAATAAACAGTGAGAAGGGAACAAGTTACCTGAAATCACAGAATCATAGAATCATTCAGGTTGGAAAAGACCTCTAGAATCACTGAGTGTAACCCAGCACTGCCAACATCACTACCATGTCCATAACTGCCACATCTACACACCTTTTAAATACCTCCAGGGGTGGTGACTCATCCACTTCCCTAGGCAGCTATTCCAGTGCCTGACAACCCTTTCGGTGAAGAAAATTTTCCTGCTATGCAATCTAAACCACAAAGAAATGTCGCTCCCTCCATATGTAGTGTCAGTTAGTAGATAAATCTAAGTCCAACACGTTGCCAGAACCAAGCGACCGATTTTAAACCTAAAAGCCTAAATCCACAGTGTCTTTTCTCTTTGTTATAACAGTTAACCAAATCAACTTACCATACAGGTACGGGAGTTTTCTCCAATGAATGAATCTCTTAGCACCTGAGTAAGTTTACTTGCTCTGAAGGGTGTATGAGGTTTATTTCGGCCTAAGGCTCTAATGCACTCCTGAAAGAACAAAGAGGTTCTTAAACATGGGTTGAATAAATGTAATAAAAATGCAACTCAAAACCTGAAAATACATGTTTTATTTGTGCTGCTCTTCCATAAAATATCATAAAAGTTTACCATTAAAGCTTTGATTCAGTAAGTGTTAGGCTTTTACAGCTCATTAAGTTCAGGATGGAGGAAGTAACTAATAAAGGACTTAGAAGCTCTAAGAACTTTCTGAATGTCATCCAAAATGTTCATACCTATGGTATGCAACAAAACAAAACCGTGCTGATGTTAAATGTTCAGGCTAACAATTATTCCTGATTATCAGGTACAAAAGCCTAAGCAATCTACAACCTCTGTCAGCAGAAGCAGCATAGACAGCATGTTAACTCTATCAGTTACAAGCAGTAGCTTTGATCCTGACTTTACCACTGACGTTCTTTACAGCTAGGAAAAAAACAAATTTTCTGAAAGCTTCCACATGCCACAAACCTAGTAGGCATAGCTTCTCTGTTGATGTACTCAGCATTGGAAGACACCAGAAAACCTAAGTCATTCCCTGTTTTAGAATACTCTTCATGTGAAAAAGCAAGGATAAGGTCTCCTCCTTCATTCTCAAGGCTACAGGGGTTGGGGTCCATCGAGAAATACTGTACAGATGTAAATACTATGAAATTACTAAAGAAGTTACAGTAGCAACTAAGTACAACAGTGCAAACCAAGACAGCATTAATCTAAACATCAATTCTGCCCACTCAGCACTCTAACATCATCTAGTAAGTTATTGCTTACACAAAGAAAGTTTGATTTTACATTTTTGTGGTAGTGTCATCATCATACTTTGACCATTCATTCCAGATTCTGGCTTTGCCTTAACAATTTGTGTACAGGCACCTCTTCAGATGCAATGTTTCCTTGGTTCCGTTTGAACACATCTACACACGGAACTTCTACAAACAACCATATTTCAAATACTTTTCAAATTTGCGCTTTGCTTTTAGCTACACTAATAGATGGAATGGCCTTTGTGTTACATAAATAGTTCTACACAAGTTCAAGTAATCCTCCATGCAGACACATCCTTGTGGTCTTCTGAAAATTCCTAGAAACGGCTTCCTTCAAAAGCCAGGCTAGGAACTGTGGGACGATAACCCAAGAAAGCATTGCAACTGTGAAACATCATAAAACGAACTTAAAATGGGATTGGAATAAAGCTGCCCTGACAGGACAGAACAAACACGAGGGCAAGTTGGCTTTAACTGAAGTGATTATTTAAAAACTCCCTAGCTGAATTTTACATAATAGACACAGCTCAGACAAACAGAAAGTCTGGAGCTTGTTGAATGTGAATTTTGCATGCAACTGCTAAAAAAGGACTCAATATTAATATGTGAGCAAGGCAGTGCATTCCTTGAATGTTTTAATTTATACACCAATGCTACACTTACATAAAGAGAAAAGCATATTAGGCAGGAAGAAGGGCAACAGATTTTCAACAAGTGAAATTGCAATGTAAAAGCGGTAACAAATGTTTACGCTGAATTGCCAATATAGCAATCAACAAGTTTAATTAAGGCACTTTAATTTACTATAATGATTTTTAGTTTACTTACTCTTGAAAAATTAGAATTGTATCATCTCCTTCTTTGTAAAAATTACAGGAGGATGCTGCCAGCTTCTAAATTAATGGAGTTCTTAACTACTTTTGCTTTTCATCACAGCTCAGAAAAACAGGCAACACAATGGCAACACTACTTCCATGTAGAGACATGACAGAAATAACCTCCTGTACCAAAAATCTGAATGGGTTAAGACAGGACTGACATCCAGATGCAAATAGCAAATCTCAGATTAGCACCAAAGACCACTCCTCAGAACGCACTGCTTTCATTTGAACCTGACAATAATTTCAACGGTCCTGAATACAAATGGGAAAAGCTGTGCAATGGTTTTGGGGATGGATGAAAAATTAAAAACTAATGCATCACTGAGAAACTTCTATCTTCTTCTACCACCTTTTAAACCTCCACAAGACCTCCATTTATTTTTATCTCCTCTTCCCCACAGAATTTAGATCACAATCACCAGTATAGCAGCAGCAGAACCTTTTGCTAGAATTAAAGTATGTTACATTAGTATTGCATTGAAAGCACTAGACAGTACAAAAATCAACAAGTGAACTGAAAAAAACCCCGAATCCACCAAAACAGAACAAGTGCTAACATCAACACAATATTCCTTGCATTGTTTACTTTGAGGCTAAATTAGAACAGGCCACAGTTTTGGAACTGCTGCTTCCGATTTTTTGACATGACATACAATTTTGTAAGGACACAATATACATTGCAATTTTGTGGTGCCTTCTCCCAGGTTTATACTGGGATAAAACACTAAGCACAGTGATTTGGGGGTTCAGATTCTTTATATAAACTCACAGTGCTGGTGCTGAGAGTAGCACACCTAGCCAAAACTAACTAACAACAGAGTTAAGTTCTGAGATGTTCAAAACTACTGTTCCCCCAGTTGATCTCAAAAAATTACCTTCCCTATTAAGATGGAACCTGTTTCAAGCACTATAAAACAAACACACAAAAAAGGCATATGAATATTTAAAAAGCATTTCTCAGCTCTGTTGCTGTGTCCTGAATTGAGGTATGAAAATCTGCACAGTGACTGTATCAAACAATTTGCTGAACAGTTGTCAAAAATGGATTCCAACTTTCAAGGGTTATTTTAATCTATCTGTTAGCTCTTTCTGGATATGGTGCTGTTGTTTTGCTTTAATTAATATATTAACAGCAGTAAATGAGTATGTTGTCAATGTAATTTTATTTTCTACTAAATAAAAAAGGAAATAAATACTGAGATCAGTAAGACTATTTCCAGTTAGTATTTCAGACCAAAATAAGTCACATGCCTACCCAATTCAGACATACATCAGAAGTTTCTGCAAACTCAGACACTGGGGATTTCTTGTTGAAGTTGTTTTTTTGGTTGGGTGGTGGTTTTTTGTTCATTTAGTTGGTTTTTTCCAACACAAACCACATGCATGATGTTTCTGCAATGTTTCTACTTGGGAATTATCAAGTGTTCCTTCAGGCAGGCAGAGGAAAAAATCAATACACTATTTTACCTGTCACATCAGTAGACAATGTAGACAAGCAAAGCCTGCAAAACCACTAATTTTAATAGTCATTGCTATTATAGGTAGTCTTCCACCTACTCAAAGACAATGGAAACAGTTCAGTTACCTTGAGTGCTAAAAGGCTCTTGTTAATTTCTGCACCTTCCAGTCGTGTCTGCCTGTCTGCACTGGAAGTATCTGCTCCTCTTTCATTGCCAGCCAAATCAATCAGAGAAAATTTACCATGCAGCTTCCCTTTCCTTCTCAGAATAATCTGAAACACTGCATGGCTTCGAGATGAATGTGCATTTGCAGATGTTTGGCCAGATGTCCTGTAAACGAGAGAAGAGAATGGAAGGACACATGAGCAGTTGAAGGAATATACATGTTAAACACTAACCTCACAATGGTATCTTTTTCAAGGCAGATCCCTGTATTTTTTTCCATGTGTTGAGAGCATGCCTAATACGCTTGTAAACACTAGAGATACAACCCTAATAACTGGATGTACACAGTACAATTATGCCTCTTTTTCCATCTCTTCAGACAGAAATGAAAGATTAGTAACATTTCACCTCTCTTTTAAAGGCAAGAATAATCAGATCTTCAAATATTTCAGATTATCAGAGAGCTTACACATAAAATGCTGATGGCACTTTTATTTGATCATGCAGCAGTCCATGCACAAGGCTAATTTTAAAAACAATGAAGCTGAAGACTTAAAAAAAGAAAAAAAAATTGCGCTTAACCTCTGCCAGAACATATCAGGGCCTTTAAGAGATGAAGAATCTGGCAGCATTCCAGATTCTAAATGATGTGAATTTAAGTCAGTAAGCTGGTTACATAATGCATGCAATTCACATCCTGTTGAAAAATCTGTCTAGGAGACAAAGAAACTCTAACTATCTTTATTTAAAAGGAAGGTACATCCCTTACTCGCATAAAATACCATCAAAAAAACCCCACTGCATATTAAAGAGGGTCGCTATGAAGAGACCCCAAAACAATCTTGTTCTGATTATTCAATGCACGACGAAAAACTGGTGCAAGCTATGGAAGATACCTGCAGCTGTTGCCTACTTCAATAAGCTTTAGAACATCTTCAACACACTTGACTTCTCGTTCCTGCAATCCCACCACCTGGACTTGCTGTTTACCATCTTCTAACACTCTTAATTTTGTCTTCCTGTTCAACAAGTCAAAAACCTTAAGGAAGGGGGAAAACAGAACAGTTAAAGACGAGCTTTAAAAGACACTGCTGTTTCAAATTCCAGATCAAAATATGCAAAGCATTACATGGAAAAACATGACTGGAAAGGAAGTGTAAAGAATTATTTGAAATAAAGCTTTTAATACAAAAAGGAAATGAATCCTTTATATGATAAGCTCAAAATCTTGTTTGTGAATGAGGAACAGCCCCTTCCTCAGTGAAAGACCAGGTACTTACCTTACCACTGTAGATCTCAAAAAATGTTGCATATACTTGAAGTTCCAACTTCTTATAGTTTGGCTTCTTTAGCATTAGAAAGACATCACGAGCTGTGGATACATTTCCAGAATAAAGAGAAATCTCATCATGTATTTTCATTTAGTGGAAACTCATTCATGTGTAATGGTCTACTTTACAGCATTTCTTGTGTTTTGCAAGTATAACAGATAGGTTCAGTCAACCAAACCTAAAACAGTGCAGTTGAAACTGCCACGTTACACTGGAGGATGCAAAAAGACCCCAAAATTATAAACTTAATCATCTGTTATTACATTTTTTGAAGTAATCTATATTTACATTACTGTGTAAAGGTTACACATCCAGGAACTACTTTTGATGTTACCACAGCTTCACTGCATGCAAAATATGTCAACCCTTATGTTTGTACAACAGTAGAAAATTTATTGACCTCAACCAATCCTCCCAAAGCCAACAGACCAATAAAGTCTCACCTGCAAGTGCATATATGCCTTTAGAACAGTCTTGGTTCTTTCCAGAAAAGTCGCCACCCATAGTCTGAATTTAAAAAAAAATAATCAAAAATAACAATAAAAATCACAGAACTGTAACTTGCATGTTCTTCATTTATTAGAACTCATCTAATTATGTAAAAAGAGGTGTACTGATGACATGCAGAAGAAATACTCACATGGGTTTTTCCACTACCCGTTTGCCCATATGCAAAACAAGTGGCCATCCCCCTTTCAAATATGGTCTCCACTAAGGGTCGAGCGGTAAACCTTAAACGCAAAACACAACAGTACTTAAGAAACTGAAGTACCACTACCACAAGGATAATAAAAATGTTAAGGCTAGGAGTGACAAAATTGGTCCTGTAGTTTGAGAGATCAAAGGACACCTATACATTAATTCCTGAACTAAAGAAACTACCAGCTCTAAGGTATTAAAATTTTCAAAACAATCAAAAGCTACGAAGTCTCTCCTGTTTCTTTTCAAACAATATTATCCTCCTTTAAACTCTTAGAAAAAAAAATGTTCTTGTTTTAAGCATGCGTCACATCAGTTTACTAAATGGAGCCTTAAAGTCCCTAAATATGGTAGAGTAAGAAGACATTAAAATAAGACAGTGGAGCAAATATGGGCTTTGTCAATATCAAAATTTTGCTGTAGTTCTGGGTTTTTTTTCCTCCCAAAATTATCTTCCAAGATTAAATCTGGAAGACAAGTGGCCAAAACAACACTGCACACCTCAGTATTTTGAAAACATGCAGACATTCAGAAAAAGCTCAAAAAAATTAGTACTCAAGCTCTTAAGAATGAAAAAATCTAGTTACCCCTGAAGTACTGTTTGATTTGCCAAAAGTATTATCTGAAGGATCATTTCTTATTTTAGAGAATTAACTTTCAGATACATGGAGTTATTGTTCCTACTTCAGCTGCTTATCACCACAATTTCATTACAAACTCCAGAAGCAAAAGGTAAACTAATGGAGAGTTACAAAGGGAGGTAAGAGTCTCTCCGTAACAGTCTCTCTTTCTAAACTTTTTTCCAGTTGTTTACACATAAATTACCTGTAAGTGGCAGAAAAAGGAACAAATGACTACAGAAACACAGAGGTGTTACAACCTTCTTTCATTTCACTTTCAATGACAGGATCACTTACAAAAATAATATGGGCATGACTGAGCCATTCAGCAGCCAAGGGCTATGTAAAAATCTGTGTCTAGCTGAATCATGAATTTTCATCCATTTCCTTTTTGCTTCTCCTGAATATATACTTCCTGTGTTCTCAAAAGGATATTCTCATATTTTGATGTATGTTCTTTGTATATATAAAGTCAAAGATTTCACAAAGCCTATCCACCATCCTAAATGGAGCATACTCCATTTACTTCTGCTTGGCTGAGTCTGAAATTATTTATTTAGCTGATTTATAAAAAGGATCATAATTATATCTATTTTAAGGTAAGGCAAAATACAAACATACCCGAAAAAGTTTTTATAAAGCATTATACAACTCCAAATGGCATCAAAACAGTCAAATTTTACTTTTATTAGAACTTTCATTTGCAATCTTGGTCCTTCAAAAATGTAAACTGCTTCTTCTTTAAAACTCATAAGGCACACCCACTCAAACTGGTATTTTTTAATATTAACAAAATTTGCAACTCAGTGTTGCATTTCATGGATTTAAAAATACTTAAAATATAGGTAAAGCAAAATAATAATAGAAATAATGGTTGTGGTAATAATAATAATGATAACAATGATAGAGTAGTACTTTTCTACATCAAACTGAAGAGCATTTTTAAAGTACAGACATACAGTCATTTGAACATATTGGAGAAAACTGGAGCAACCTGAAACAGTTGGTTTTTTTTGCCCACTGTGACCCTGAAGTTCTGGTGAGAGCAGATGATGACACCTATCTTGCTCTTACTTCTTCTTATTACAGGAGGCCTTGAAGTAGATTGCCCTTCAAGTAATGATCAATACTGTGCCATATGAGAGAGAGGGAGAAAAACTACAGATTTACTGTTTAAGTATGAATAAAAGGATCTAAAAATAGGTTCCTGTAATGCCATTAATGTGTTACATAACTAATATAAACTGTCAGGGGAAAACTCAGTACAAAAATACAACAATATTTTATGCTGGAAACCACCCCTCACATTGAAACACTACGTTCACACAGACAAACAGCAAGAAGGGGGGTTTGAAGAACGGATTGTCAAGTAGGAGGAGAATTATTTCACACATCACCAGCAAGATGTCTCTCCCACAGCTCTTTAGTATCAAGGAAAGGAAAGATACTACCAGCAGATTACCAGCAGAGACAGGCATCTCCAAGGGCACAGCTTTGCTGTTTAGAAGTCTTCATGGAAACTAACAGACTGTAAGACTTTCCTTTCACCACCCTTCTCTAAGCATACCAAGTACAAGACAGAATGTTTTGGTTTCACAGCCTGTTAAGAATTCTTTTACTATGAATTTTCTGTTATCCACTGACTGGATGTTAGCATCCACTATCAATCCAGGTCACGATCCTAACTTTCACCTTCTAGTTATGAATTAAAGACAAGAACTAAGCTATTCCTCTGCCAGTACTCCTTAAGGTTATGGGAAGCACTTTCAAAGTATCAAGAAAATTATCTTCATCAAATTCCTTTTTAATATCAATATTCTCTGCAACAAGCTTCACAGTCTTTAGACTGCACACCAAGATCATGACATGCTGTGGTGTGTAACCTTGCCTCCTACTCTATCTGCTCCATTTAGTGCCTTGCACAAGGCAAGTGGCTACTTCTAAACATGCTTTTAATAGAATTGTGTGCATTATTCTGTATCAGCAGAAGAAGTGAAACAGAAAAACAAAGGAGAAAATGGAGATCTAAATACCTTAGGCCTGAAGGTGGATGATGTGGCTCTTGTTTTTTAGATCAGAAAGATTCAGCATTTTGAGCAAGGTAACTTAGCTCCATGCAATTCCATGTTACACCAGCCAGATTGCTTCCAGCAGAGAAGCTAGCTCAGGTATCTCAGCAATACAGCAATATAAACTCAATATCTCAATACCCTCTCCTGATTTGTTTCCATCTCTTAATCATCCTATATTCAAACTGCAAGTTCTTTGGTGCTAGGGCTGTCCTTTTCTTCCAGGTTTCCTCAAGACCAAAAGCTGTGGCTCAGGTTCCTCAGGTGCTGCACACACAGTTAATAGTAAGACAATAACTCTGAGGCAAGTGGAGAGCTCATTAAGCAACTCAGTTGCTGAGGAGGCAACACATGCTAGAGCCTGGAAACCAGCAGGCCTTGGAGGAGGACTGGGAGCAGGACTGAGGTCAACAGACACAGAGATGACATTGCAGGTGAAGAATTGGGGATAAAGAGTTAAAACAAAATAACAGGCAAAAGAATGGAGGCAGCAATATACCACTCTGGTGACACAGAGAATAGGAATAAACTCTATGACCAAGGTAAGCGCAACAGTTATTGACATGGAAAAAACATGAGAAAAAAGGTTCACAAAAAAAAGCATATAGACATACCTGTAAACCATTTCATTAGGAGCCGTGTCATCAAAGGCATAATCAAAACGAAAAGTTTGGTTTTCTAGGTACCTTGTTAAATCCACCTTTTGTTTTGGCTCATGTACCATCACAACATCTTTACTAGGAATTGTTATTACATCAAGGTCTTTCATTAAAGTTTCTATAAAATAAGTGAAATATATATTTAACTAACAACACATCATTATTTTTTACATTTTTCCATTGTTTACACTCTTATAACATCTCAGATAACACAGCTCCTCCAAGTAACAACACTGCAATGGATTTGGGCTTCCAATGCCTAGATAGTCATCTGCTAAGTAATATTTCATTTTGGAAGTCTAGTCATCCTATCCTACCAATTGCTAGAAATTCAAGAGAAGTTGTACAAAGCTGATAAGAAAAACTATGATCATTAATTACAGCACTATCGTTGTAGCTTGTTAGGTATTCTGTAACACTTCTCATGGATTTGAGATCTTTTTCCTCAGGGATTCTATACTCTTTTACAGCTTACTGCTTTGAGTTTTTTTAATTACCTTCTCTACTGAAGAAGCTAGATGCTGAAGCTCCTATATTGCTTGGACTGTCAAACTCGAAAACAGAAAGAAATTAATATCCTTACGATAATCTGCTTTATTTTAAAATTTTCTCTTTTAGCTTTCTCGAAATCCTTAATGTTACAGTCAAATTTTGCTTTCATTCCTCACATTTTCACAGACATTTCATTCCTCACAGACATTTTCATTTGTGTATTCCTCCTGGAACCTAGAGTACATGTCTTTAACATGTACTTTACAGTAAAAACCTTTTCTAAAAGTTACCTTGTAAGCAGAAAAAGCTGAAAATCCTTCCTATCACTATGACTTCAGCAGTGAGACCCTAGGTTATAATTACTATACAGCATTGCAATTTACTGCTAATTGTTGTGTGATATATGACTCAGCAAAACAGAAAACCCAGTGATCCATAATATGCACAAAAACAAAGATCCTTTGTGTGTACAGTCAGGACTCACTAATGTGTCCTACTTGTATTTCTATGTACAATTTCCTAAGGCATGCAGTTTAAGAATTTAATGTGACTTTATACAATCAGATAGAAACCTTTTCATTGGTTAACATATTGATCAGACAGTACAATGTTTACCATTGCAATACACTACACACCAACAGAAACACTCATTCAAGTCACTGCATAATCAATTTTTCAACTGCACTGCAATTAAATAAAATGCCATTATTCTACAGTAATCACAGAGGAAAAAATAAGGAACAGTGACAAAAACAGATGTCTGACAGTCAATTCTTTGCAGCAAAAACTTTTTTGTTTACCCAGTCAAAAGACGATTTTTCTTAAATAATTGTTGGGAATAAGACATTTACCTGCTTCCATCTATTTGGTATCAGAACCTATATTCCCTGCTGATGAAAATTAGCAATAGTGCCTCTGTAATTTCACTTTGTTCACCTTCAACACAAGTAGAAAGTGAAGTTTACCCCAAATGTATGAGATTTCTAAGTCAAATTTTATTCATGATACCCTCCACGGCTGAATCTAAAATCTAAGTACTACCAGACCTGTAAGTTGAATGCCCTTATCAAAACAGATTGTGCAATTTAGTTTCAATTAACCAATTTTTGAGACTATGTATTCCCTTCAGATCAATAAAAGAAAAAATACAGGGAATAAGAAAACAGTAAAAATAAAAATCAAAAAAGTAGCAGTCATGTGAAGAGGAAAAGTAAGACAAAACCTAACTACATACTGGTATTAACATATGTGTTGGAAAGGAAAAACAATTCTCCCATTTATGCTCCCGACAATTCTGTGTGTAATTCTGACAGTACAAAAATAATAAATTCATCCCACATTGTTTCAGACTCAGAGTGATGCTCTTTTGAGTCCTTCAGCTAAACAAAATATACAGAAAGGGAAGGAGAGAAATATCTTCCAGCACTGGATTCCAGAGAGGCTGAAATCCAGAAGCATTTGCATTCCTGAATTCCCACTGAGAGTAAAGAACTTCCTGTGAAGATTGGGATTCAGC